CGGTAGTCTAAATATTTGCTCATAGATAATGCCGTTAAATGTGAAATATCTTATCATAACTGTTATGTTGATTAGTCGTGTTAACGACTCATTCCGTATCCGTTCTGCCTCTAGGATGTCCTCTTCTAGCTCCAATATCTCCATTAAGGCGCTTATCACCTTTTCACCTGAGATGTTTGTGTACATGGATTGTACATCGAAACTCACCAACAGCTCCGATCCCACTAACCCAATGTTGTGGATCCTTTGAGAAAATTCATATGAATTCTTGACGGTATTCGAGAGTCTGTCATTTACCTTTTTGAGCTTCAAGCAAATAAATCTCGCAAGTTTTTGCATTGCTCCATAGTTGTTGTTGACTCTTATTCTTAGCGGATTTCCTCCCTTGTGTATCTTCGGTAGTCCATAGTCTCTCGGTGGTCTTGCCTCATTTTTGATCAAATATTTCATCATCCATCTATCAATTTCCCCATTATTAAGCACTTCTTTGAGCATATTCTTCAGTGTCCCTTTGATCTTCGTGGTTGGATCTTTCCTTAATATTTGATAAGTATTCCGGTCGCCAAGGCTACTTTCCATTTTATCCGTGTATTGTTTCTTGTCCATTAGAACCGTCACTCCCCTCTTATCTGCCTGAAGAACTTTTCGATTCATATTTTCCGAATACCAGCCCATTTGCTCCATTTTATCTGTTCCTGATGTGTCAGGATCCGTGGGATTATTTCCAATTCCATCTCCCGCCTTGTATCTTCTGGGTATTTATCCGTTATGTTGACAACTTCCACTAGAATATGAGTAAGAACGTTTCATTTATTACCTAGTGAAAAATGTAACCCCTTCTTCAAGAGATTCGTAGTTTCACAATCCAGAGGGATGAGAGATAGATTTACTACCTTAGTCCCATCGTCGTCTGTAGCAGTTGATGCCTTCAATACAGAAACATCAAACTTTGCCCGGGTTGGCTTGGTCTTGCTCTGTCTTATTATCCCATAGCTAAGCAATTTCTTGTCATTTCGCTTATTTATCAGAACCCGGACCCTCTGTGACATTTGTCCGTCATGTTCTGTAGTTCTTTAAAATCATCCAAAGTAAGAACCCTACCTCGATCATTCCTTAATCTATATTTGATATTTTTAGTCTTAAATAGCTTACGCCTCTTATTCTCGTAACTTTCCCCTAATTTCTTGATAGAGGCGTGATAAATTATTTCATTAAATGTGCCAGAATGACACTTCCTCATTAAATTGCAGAATCGGAGGGTGATACCATAATGTTTTCAAGAATCCATAAAAGTCAAATGGGAGGATGGACTTACAATTGTCTTCTTTGTACGGCTGTATTCAGTGCATTGTTTGACTATCTTACTTCCATCGTTGAATCGAAGATATGAAAACCAAGATGGTTTGGCCTTTTGTGTGGTCGTAGTGTCCTTACGTTGTATAGAAGTTGTTTGACCTTGTTATCGCAACTTGGTCATATTGGCAGGAAGACTTAGAGGGACGCATCTAGTCCGGAGTTCATTGTATGCATGATCATTTCCAAAGTCGGACCGTGGATGTGGTACATTCCCAGACATTTCGAAGGCATCGTAGTCGGCATCGTCAGTCAGTCTGGCCATTCTTAGCATCACACAACTCGTCGTGAGACAAGTGAAGCCGATCTTTTGACCAAATGTGTGCTAAAGAGTTGTAGTATCTCTCCTTCTGTCCTGGGCTATTCACCTTCCCTATATCCTCGTATCACGCCTCGAGTAGCACGGATGGGGTGGCAAGAGTGGAGTGAAATACTTGAACCAGGGCGACAGCAGACGGATCCTAGGGGGTAAGAGGGAGACTCTGATAAGACCTAAGGAGGGAGGACTGCGTAGCAATATGGCAGACTCTGATTAAGATTCTCAGGAAAATGGTGAAGGAGGGTGAGAACGCCAGCTTGAGTGTGGAGGGTTTTTATGAAGGCCACTCAAAAGGGCAAACCACACTAGATCTAAATAAGGAAGTAACAAATTGTGATAGTTAGGGCGTGATACGAGGATATAGGATTGGTGATTAGCTCCGGGTGGAAGGAGAGATCCCACGATTGTTCATCAGACAATTGGTCAATTGACCACCTTTACTTGTCCTTTTGACAAGTTGTAGTGTGGTGCTAAGAATGGCGAGACTCACTGACGATGCCGACCAGGATGCTGGCGAAACGTCTGGGAATGTACCACGTCCGCAGTCCGACTTTGGAAATGATCATGCATACAATGGACTCCGGACAAGGTGCGTTCCTCCAAGTCTTCCTGCCAATATGACCAAGTTGAGAAAACAAGGTCAAGCAGCTTCTACACAACGAAAGGAGACTGCGACCACACAAAAGGCCATACCATCTTGGTATTCAAGCGTTGATAATAAATATGTTATTCGATTGTCGGCTTATAAGCGATTAACACTAGAGTACTAATTATTTTAATAAATTAGTTTACAGGAGAATGCAAGACTTATAATTTTTTACCGTCATCATCATGCATATTTGCTATTTTTTGATTTATGCATCCATTTATCCAAAAGTTATATCGTTTGAAGCACAATTAAGGAAAAGTGTATAAGAACTTCGTGTATAAAAGGACAGAGGTCGAAAAGTAGAAATATTTGCAGGTTGTCCGTTTTTTCTGGGTCAAATAAAGATGGATTAGCAAGTTTAGTGACTGTACATAATTACTTTAAAATGATCATAGCTCTATATTCAAAATTAATGAGTCTGGTTTCTTTAAATAAAATCCAAGTTTACTCATTTAACTAAGCTGTCATGTTCCAAGTATAAGCTGCCGAAGTAGCACAGACACATGCGAACGAAAGAGAAGGATATGTTCTTTTGTGAAGCCATACAGAGCCGGCAAATAGCGAGATGAAAATAAATAAAATGTAGAATATTATGCGTGATATAATTCAGTGTTGATATGTAAATAAGGTTAGCCTCAACAATGAGGCTGGTTTGAATTTGAATTATGTGAGAAAAGTTATCTGGAATATTTGAGATTGAAGAGCATTGAATAAAGAAGAAACAAAAAGTGGGCCTCTTCTGAAAGCGCAGAACTAAGGTTTTACATCTTTTGCAACTATAACAATCCCACTAGAAGCCATTTTAGTGTAAAACCCCTAATAGTGAGACTTTAACTAAACTTTTTTCTCGAATTGGTGCTATTTCTGCAAGTTACTTGATTCTAAATGGCATTATCATTACAATCGTCTAGTGACGAATCTCGAGGCATATGATAGAGTTAAGATTCTTCAAGCGGCCTAGGATATGCATATCGCTACCTCCAGAGGGGCAGCGATACTCTAAGACAAAAAACAGCGAAGTTAACCAGTACATGATACTACTGACTGGAGGGATAACATCTAACAATATTCACTAATATTCAATACCATTACCATGCCATAAGCAAGGTAAAATTAATGGTCAAACAAACTGAAATGGTTAGTAATGTAAAATAATAATACTATGCAAATTGGAAATTAATCGTTTGTTTTCGGAAAAATTAAATGAAAAAAGAAATAAAACGTTCATATAAAGAAGAATGAAGACAGTGGCAGATTAATAAGTTTGAGGATTAATAAGTGAGGTCAACAGATCTGTCGAGAGAAGAAAGGTATTCGCTGTAACCGAGTGAAATACTGATAGACATGAGTGCATACATGCATTCAAGAAGAGATTAAAAGTGCTAGACAGACCCGGAAAAGAGAGTTGTTTGCATACATCTTGTGAGATTTAAGTGTTCGCATACTAACAAAGATTGGTAGGAAGTAAAGGCGCGTTTCGAACAGGTAGAGTGAGCAGCAATAAACAGTAGTGCAAGCTAGAGAAAGGATAGAGAAAGGATACAGAAGAACGAAGATCGATAACAGATCATTTCAACATGTTTATAAAAGAGATTAATGTTAATAATATAGGCTTTGTGATCATTCTAAGTGCAAAACTTTTTTGAGCAGACTAAGACAGAATCCTCGACTAAATTCCAGTTTAAGCGTTGATACTACTGGCCTTAGTAATAGACGGTGTTATCCGCGGCGTACTGGCTTCTGGAGCCCGGCTCATTCAATATGCTGGGGCCGCTATGGACAGTCTTCACTTCAGAGGTGATGATGTCGGAAGGAGGGTTGCCAGTGGTGGAAGTCATCTGAAGCGAAGGGTCACCGGAGAAGTTCATCGGCCTCTTCAGGTAGCCCCCGTTGACGCGGTACAGGGCGAACAAGAAGAAGGAGTCTATGGCATAGCAAACCGTATTGAGGCTGAAAAACACCTACGGTTTGGGAAGATATTTGAAAATAGACAAATAGCTTTATGTTGTCAAGCCTTAATGGGGGTGTTTTTAGAGAGCTGGAGTTGCTAAGCGATTAATAAATAGTATTAAAAAAAAACAAATAAAGAGAATGATACTCTGTCCTTGCCGGACTTGCTGATTCATGGATTGTCTACAACCTTGTTCATGAAGTGACCAAGGGAGGAATTTGCCCGTTTGCATATTACTTCTGCGAGCAGAAGCAAATGAGTATGTCTTGGAATTCCTGATCTAGTTATAAACAAAGCTTTGTGCATACGAGAGGTATTCACCCTATTGTGTTAAGGTAAATATGGACTG